CCATCCATCCATCCATTCATTTATTCATTCCATTGGCACATATCTGAGTACCTATTATATCATCTGGAAAATGGGCAGAGTAATATTACCATTAGCAAAAGGCTGTTTTGAGAAGATAATTTCTATTAAGCACATTGTCTAGCACATAATAATAATTATCATTAAACAAGTACTTGCAAGTGCCACGCGGAAAGACAAAAAATGGTCCTTTTACAGCCCTATTTGTGGGTGGAGACGGTAAGGTTGCATCTGAAGGGTGGATTAATTCCTGGGGAAGAGGTAGATTCCTCAGATTAAAAACTGGAACAGAGCAGATGGGCCTCAGGTAGACCAGAGAGGGAGCCCTGTTCCCGCAGTTTGGACTAAGAAGCGTCAGGAGAGCAAGGTAGGTATTGCTGGGTAGTGTGTGTTAAATTGACACCAACCACTTAGAAATGGGCTGGGAATGAAGAGACAGAGAAAAGAAACAGATAAAATTCATATAAAATGGTGTGGAGCTTCTAAGTCCCACAGATAAAGCTAGTTACAGTAGAATCAAAGCCTTATACACTGATAGGCCAGCCTGTTTAAATGCCCTGTATTCTCTGGGTTTATTGTCCATTACTCTTAGCATTGAACAGAGTTTTCGTCAAGTTCCCACCTGTGCCACCTGTGCTCAGTGTTAAAAAAGGAAGCAGCCAGGGGCCGGCCCTGTGGCTTAGCGGTCAAGCGCGCGCGCTCCGCTACTGGCGGCGCGGGTTCGATCCTGGGCGCGCACCGACGCACCGCTTCTCCCGCCATGCTGAGGCCATGTCCCACATACAGCAACTAGAAGGATGTGCAACTATGACATACAACTATCTACTGGGGCTTTGGGGAGGAAAAAAAAAAAATAAAGGAAGCAGCCAACCTGGGACAGAGTTACCAAGCAGCAGGAATCCCTCTGGGAAGAGCAAGCACAGGGAGAGTCTCTTTCTGTGGCTCATTTGGGATGAGATGAGTTTGGTATTATTAGGAAACTGCCATTTCCTGAGAGTCTATCTCAATTTCAGTCCCCCGTATGCCCTAAAAATTGGGTTTAAAATCTTTCCCAATCCAGACACAAACCCCAGAAGCTGCATAGCAAAATACTGGTGGATCTGACTTCATAAAAGGTAAAAACTTTGTGAGACAAAAGACACCACAAACAAAACTGAATGCCAAGCCACAGACTGGAAGAAAATAATTGCAAACTATAACACACATTTTAACATTATGTTATAACAAGGAGGAATATCCATAACACATAAAGAGCTCCTATAAATCTATAAGAAAAAGGCAAATTCAATGGACAAAAGACATAAGTAATTTCAGAAGAAATAGAAACAAGAAATACCCGTCTTCAGTGGTAATTAAGTGTATACAAATTAAAACAAGATGGCATTTTGTTTGCCCATCAAATTGGCAAAAATTAAAAAGGTTTATAATACTTAATATTGGCAAAGGTAAAGGGAAACTGGCAGTTTCTTCTACTAATGGTGAGAATGTAAACTGGTGTAGTCTTTTTTTTTTTTTTTATAAATTCTAATCATTAGTTACTATTTCTTTTATTTATTTATTTATTTTTCCCCCAAAGCCCCAGTAGATAGTTGTATGTCGTAGTTGCACATCTTCTAGTTGCTGTATGTGGGATGTGGCCTCACATGGCCAGAGAAGTGGTGCATCAGTGCGCACCCGGGATCCGAACCCGGGCCGCCAACAGCGGAGCGCGCTCACTTAACCACTAAGCCACGGGGCCAGCCCTGGTGTAGTCTTTTTAAGGGACAGTTTGGCAGTACGTGTAACTATTTACAGTATGCCTACCCCTTGATATAACAACTTCACTTTTAGGAGTCTATACTATTTAAATATGTCCCATGAAGGCAAATATATAAGGATGTCAACTGCAACAATGTTTGTGACAGTGAGAAAATACTAATAATATCTAACATTTATTGAGGGCCAGCACTCTTCTAAGCACTTTATAACAAATATTATAAGGAAACAGACACACGCAGCTAGTGTGTGGTCATGGCAGGATTTTAGCCCAGGCAATTTATCTCTGTTCTTAACCACTATGCTCTCTAATAGAAAGTAAATAAAAGTATGGTACATCCATACTATGGAATACAGTACAGCAGTTAAAAAGAATGAAGTAGATCTCTGTGTACACACATGGAGATATCTCTAAGACATATAATCAATCAAGCGAAAAAATCAAGTTGCAAAACACTATGAAATGGTATAATGCCATATATGTGGGAAAAAGGTACATATGTGTATAAAAAGATACATACTATGAGAATGGATAAAGGCCTTGAAAGATAAGAGCATGTGTGTGTAGGAAGATTTAGGAGAGCAATTTTTCAAGGTATGTTCTATATATTTCTGGTTTGTTTGAACTTTTGTAATAATGCATTAATTTGGTAAAACAAGAACTGTTGTACTGACTAAAAAGATTTAACTCATATCAAGAGTTTAGTCGTCTTTTCTTCACATAGACAATGGTGTAGGTCTTGGATAAAAATCTTCTACGCTATGGCTTTTTCTAGCCTATGTAAATGAACATATGTAAAAGGTGTCCACTTTCTGTATTTTGTTGATCATTTTTTTCCTTTTTAAATAAGGTTTTCATGTACAGTCTCTGGGACCATGGCTTCCTGTTAGCTCACCAAGCTCCATAAAAATATACAGCCAGTCATTGAAAAATTAATTTGAAACCTGAGAACCACATGGTGTTCCTTTTGCTTTGCATATTATATTGTCATTAGGAAAAAGGATCCGTAATCATGGATTATCTCATTATATTGCTCCAATGCCTAAGCAGGAGGCATGTCTAGCTCACTGTGTCCTCTTGGTGTGGTCTAGAGAAATATGAATGAGTCACTCATTATACAGACTTAAAGGACTTACCTTTTGACCAGAAGTCGGTGTTATTATCTGAGAGGAAAAAGCTGTATTAGATCATCCAGGGCCTCTTCCTGCCTAACTCCAAGTGAGGGTGGCTTTAACACAAAAGGAAAGATGAGGCTCCTGGAACACCTACTGATTAAAATGCTACTTTTACAAGGTCAGGGCTTTAAAACTCTCTCTCTGACATGACAATGAGAAAAGTTCTTAAGATTCCTACTACTTAATGGATATCATATTGTAGCTTTTTTGGAATGGCCCATCTATCTTATTACAGTTTTTCAATTTTTTAAATTTTAATAGTCTCTTAAGCATCTTTAGAGGAAAAAGCCCCACTTAAAAACAATTGTATCAGGGCCGGCCCCGAGGCTTAGCGGTTAAGTGCTCACGCTCCGCTGCTGGCGGCCCGGGTTCGGATCCCGGGCACGCACCGACGCACCGCTTCTCTGGCCATGCTGTGGCCATGTCCCATGTACAGCAACTGAAAGGATGTGCAACTATGACATACAACAATCTACTGGGGCTTTGGGGGAAAATAAATAAATAAATAAAATCTTTTAAAAAAAAAAATTGTATCTTCCCGTTCTTACAGCTGTTCATTTTACATAGCTTTAAACAGTGTGTACAAACTATGTTGTATTTGTTGTTTCATTTAACCTTATTTCCAATACATCTTTTCACGTATTTGCCAAAATTTCATGACAGGAATCCTGCATACTTGCCAGGATTCTTTCTGTTAATGTGACAGAGCTTGTTTGGATTATGCCCCAACTGTTGGACAATTGGGTCCATTCCCAGGTTTCGGTTATTATGAACATTCTGAATAGCCCTGCTATAAACATCTTTATGCAAGTTCTCCCCCTCTCCCCTCTTTGGATCATTTCCTTAGAAATGTACTTCCTTAAATGGGTTTACCGGGTCAAAGAGGCTCAACGAACAGTTTTATAGCTCTTGGCACATATTTTTCGGATTGCGCCCTGGGTGGATCTGACCAATGGCACCGGCCGCGAGAGGGCAGGAATGTGGAGGCGCGGCCCCTATAACCGCCCCCCAAAAGGCAAAGACCTCACGAAACCCTGCGGCTGGAAAGCATTTTTCTATCGCCTTCTTGTTCTCTTCCTGACTAGTGTTTAAGCCCCGGCTGGGAGACGAGTGTTAGGGACGCGCAGAAAGGTTTCCGGGACTCCAGGACTTCTGCCCCGGGGGCGGAGGCAACTCTTCCAGGCCCTCCTGCCCCAGGACTAGGATTCCAACACCCCGTCCTCTTCCCGAGTTCCGACTCCCATTGCACTCCCTCCCAGCCTTCCCACTAAAACTTCCGTGGTCCAGGGAGGCCCCTTGCAAGCGCAGGGCACTGCAGGCGAGGGCGACTGGCGGTCGCTATTATTTTGGCGCGGGCGATGCAAGGCCCGCATAGTTGCGCGCTGACTCAGCGGGGGCCGGGGGGGGGGGGGGGGCCGCGGACCGACCCATCCCCCTACGCCCCCTCCCCCTGGACGCGGCGGCGGCAGGACAGGGCAATGGAGGTGGGCGGGCCGGCCTCCGGGTCCGCGGGGTCGTCCGCCGGGGCAGGGTCGGGGGCGCGGGGCCGCGGGCCCACCCGAGCCCCCGGGGCGCTCTCCCCTCCCCCTGCTGGAGCTCCGCGGGTCAAGTGAGGCGGTGACCGCGCGCCCGGCCAGTTACCCTCTGAGAACTCAAAAAGGGGGAGGAGGAAGCGGGTAGGAAGGAGGCTCAAAAAGGAGAAACGCGAAGCCGAGCAGACAGGAGGAAACGAGAAAACAGGAGGAAAAGGGTCGAGAAGAGGCGGAGGCCGGCGGGCGGGGGCGGCGGCGG